TACACACTGCATACATGCACTCCTTCCATTTTGAACCTACTCGCGTCGCCACATAATTCTAGCTGCCAAACCCGGTGCGATTTGGCACTTGGTAACATCAAAAAAAGATCAGGAGGACGGTCAAAAAGATTGGACTCACTGGTACGAGCCAGCGGTGGGCGGGCGTTCCCTTTAGTGCTGTGATAGCCACCAGGCTCGTCTTAGACGAGCACAGCCCCCCAGACATGAGCAAACTTCCGGTCCGAGTTCCACACGCGTCTGGGGCGTGTCAGAGGAAACAAATATCGAATACTATTACGCTGAATTGCCGGTTCAAAATTTTCACCTCTCAACGAAACACCAAACTAAGATGGCAAACAACATCCGAATGTTGCTCAAAAATTAGTTAGCAGGGTCTTGAAGCGAATGAAGACTGCGGCATCATCTATCTCTTTGTAAAATTAGCGTGTCTGTCTGGGAAGCCTATATCATAAGGATATATTAACGGCTCCCTGTGACAGGTTCAGCATAACATCAACCAAATCAAAAAGCGCTTGTTTATATTCGCATAAATCATTTCACAGTCCAATCGTGGGGCTTTGGTGTCACTCAAATTGTACAACAAAGACGGACGAACCTCAATCCATGATAGGTCAACGACGCTTGTTAATCTTCGTTAATCTTCGGAGCATAAATGATTGTTGATATTATGTCCACCGCTCTTTGACCAAGTCCGTCCCCCGTTCTGCGACCACATACGTTGCTGCCTGGGTGTGAGCACTTGGAATGAAAGGCTTCGATGTGGTCAGTTTTTATGAGGACGGGAAATAGTGATTTTTCGCCTACCATGATGGAAGCATCGATGATGCTAAGCCCACTTGCGCCCTTCACGAGTAGGTCGGGATTGACCTGTACCACATGAGGACAAAGAACAGGTGAGCTCTTCGGACAGATCCAGAGTAGACTGAGACTTGCCACTCCATATGATGCATCTTTTGCCGACATCGCTGCGGTCGAAACAATGTGTCCAGAAGAGCTACCGGTGTTTCGTATAAATTCGTCCAGTGCGTCCGTCGTCATATTCAACAAATCAATAGTGGGCGCAATAATGTAGTCCTTCCACACTGGCGCTTCAACGAATCGATAGGCCTTTTTGATTGATTCTCGAGCGGTGAACAGATCGAAATCAGTGACCAAGAGTCCTGGATCAATAAGTGGAGGGTCGAAGGGATTATTGCTCTGGAGGGTGATAGAACCACCTGAGTTTCGATATATCAAAAGTACGACTGGCATAGTTGGAATTTGGGAGAACGTACGGCTAGTCGGTGTGAGCATGATCATCCCAAAACTCATGAAGTTCCCAGTCGGCCCGGCCCCAAATCCACCCGTCTAATAAAGCATATTAGCCGACAGCGGAGGCACATAAGCTCCTTCAACGTACTCCGACGAATATCTCGATATGAGGCGTTTTAGGTCCCGCGGATGGATCCGTGACGTTCTCAAAAATAGGCGAGTTTGCATCCAAGCGCGTCCAAGCAATGTGCGTCACCGGGACATTAGTAAACGGGCCAGTGTGAGTTGCATTCCATTGTGCATACGCCTCGTTGAACAGTGTCACATTTTGTTCTATGGAATCGATGGTTTGCGTCGAGTTCACGGACCACGCGGCGAAGACCATTGGTTGGTCGGTGGCATTTTGACCGACGCTGGGGAGGTCCAAGACGGAAGGAATACCCAGGGCTGTTAGCGTGTTTTTATCCCCGATTCCAGAGTTCATCAGGATGGCTGGCGTCCCGATCGGCCCCGCCGAAAGGATTATCTCGTTGGCGGCTTTGGCGGTGAATAGAGATCTGCCTGAAGAGAGGTGAGCTGAGCACGCGCTTGAGAACAGGATGCACGTACCTTGCGAAAATTCCACCCCTTCGAAAGATACAACGCCTTTGGTGGTCTGCGGACCCACGAGCCTCAACACTTGTGCATGCAGCAGAACATGCAAATTCTCTCGCTGTATGAATTTTGGTGCCAAGTATGATGTTGCGGAAGAGCTGCGCTCTCCGCCACCAATAGTAGATTGAAACCAACCTTGTGCCCTATCAATTCAAAAGAAACGAGGTAAGGATTCGGAAACCTACCGACGCCCAGCGGTTCCCCGGAGTTGTAATCCAAATTGAAGGGGAATTCTTCAGGGATCTCGCGGGTGGTTTGAATGACCTGATTCTCGAAAATGGGCCACCGAGAACCGCTGAGGCTGACAGAGTTGATCCCGTGTGTACTGTGCACAGCAGGATTGAATTCACCACGCGTGTCATGGTTGTCCGCGGGCGGCGTCCATTTTTCGTTCTACGATCGGTGAGTTTGGTGAGCAAAGGTGAAGAATTCTTGCACACTTTGAAGAAGTACGGGAGCAGGTTATCCCAGGACCATCCAGAATCTCCGGTTACAGCAGCCCAGCGATCGTAGTCCTCGGCAGAGCCGCGGGTGTAAACCATGCCATCTAGCGTCACATACTCAATATAACGAAGAACGTAGGAGATGGGCGAGAGCTCACTGTGTGAGGTACAACCGCCCAGGATATGTGCTTATGGGAGAGAATTAATATTTCTCTTAACGCACTAGGTACAACCAAGTCTTACCTCTCGGATATGGAATTGACCGGTTATTCAATCCAACTTGCAGCGTCGTGGTGTAATTCCATTCGTAGATGTTGGGTCCACTAAGCAAATTATTCACGAAGAAGGGGACGATGGAGTCTATCACTCCTTCGTTGCTACACGAATCAATCGCACTCGCTGAAGGAATAGGTTTTCAGGGACTCACGAGACTCCTGCTTCGAGTACAAGCACAGAGAAGTTCCGGTTCTCAGTCAATCTATTGGCGACAACATTGCCCGCGGCTCCGGCTAGTTTTCATCGGGAGTTAGCATTCGCATCTCCTCGCGGAAAAACGGGGTCGTACCTCCGACGATGACGAAGTCATAAACGAGGCCAGGGAGATCGGAAACGTCTTCGTATATCTTGGCGAAACTTTCCCCAGCGAGGCCGAGCAGAAACAAGGAGATGAGCATCTTCTGCGTGCCGTTGCAAACCCAGACCAGTAGCACATATATATTAGCGTTAGAAGGCTCCAACCGGTCAGAGCGGATGGTCACGTAACGAGGAATAGGTACGGAGGCTTTATTTCTCAGCGCGGCGATTCGCGGCAAAGATGTTTGATAGTGGCGCTTCTGCCGCGAAGTGTTGAATTTTCTTGCGGAGCAATACGTGAGGCGAGGTTGGACCAGTCCGGCCAGATAATATTTGGAGTGGGTTGGCTAGTGTATAAGGCATTTCCTCAGGAGTGGAAACACTCAATTTCCTCATGGAGGTCCTCCGGCCCTCCATACGTGGTTGTAAGAGGCTAACAAAGTTAGTTGTCTTGCCTCCGTTTCGTACCATCAAAAAAAAAAAAAAAAAAGAGATGTAGAAGAAACGCATCGTCGGTGCCGGCCGCTCGCCGTCGAATGTTCTCATCTCGTCGTCAGATTTGTTTGGGGATCGTGGAAATGGGAGCGGTGATAACGAGTGCAGAGACGTCGACATCAGAGAAAGAAAAGCCATAAGGAGCGAGTAATTGGGCCATTGCAGTAATAAGTCCGGGCACAGTTCCATAAACGACGGCATATTTATCAGGTCAAGAGATGCACTGTGCCGTCACGATGGAAAGTACAGTTCGCCAGAATCACCACAGATGTCGAGCGACGCGGATTGGATCGCTTCATAAGTATATGGCTGGTCGTTCCGTCTTTAGTCAGTCGCTTTTAGTCCCTTATTGCTGCCACCAAAGGGTTCGAGCGTCCCAGTGGCCGTGGCGGAAAAAACATGAAGAGAAGGGAGAGAGCACAGCCACCAAACATTACACTCTCCAAATATCACGTGTCTGGAGCGGGTTTTGGGAGGCCCCCGGCATACGCGGTTGTATGTCCGATCCGAAATCCCAGATTTCGGGCGTTTCCGCCCGTGGCTTTTTGCGCCAATTCCATACGCATTGTGATTAGGTAGACTATTTTTCGTCGACTTCAGTGCGCATTCCTGATCGGACATTCTACCGCGAGAGGCACCCTTTGAGCATCTTGGGAGAGAACTTTCAAAATTTTCGTCGGGAGGGCCTGCGATACCCCGCCGGGGCCGTACCTTCAAATTCTCGTCGCTGGAGTTGGGCTGGGGTGTGCGCATAAGGATCGGACCTCAGGGTGTGTTCTGTCCCTACTTTGGATCGGACATGCGGTGGTTTTTTCGCTCCTTCGTCCGCACTTTGATGAGACATAGAGGCCATTTTTGACCCAAATCTGTCAGCGCCCGGATCGGACATACAACCGTATATGCCGGGGGCCTTTTGGGGGTCATGGATGCGGTTCTCGACGAGAGGACCATCGAGGGTGGGTGGTGTGGCCATGATGAAGGTGGGAGTTAGATGTTAAGCTCCAGAGTGATAAAGATACCTGATGGTGTGAGGTTCGCCGATGACTGGAGGTAAAGACCCTGCAAGAAAGCTTGCAAGAATCGTCCAGAAGGCAAGTAGTCATGCAAATGAGTGGGTGAATCTGTTCATTGTATTTTAGTGCCTTGTACCTCGTATACCAACGCTCTCCGGGCACACCTGGATCCTCCGGGTATGGGCCAGCGATCCGAGTTTGTCCTGAATATTGATTCGGTCTTGTTGTAACTTGTTGATCACTACACGCAACATAAAATTTGGTGAAATACAATTCGGGGGCTGCTCGCGAAGCAAGACAGAACATCGGCAAATTTTGAATTTTCAGGCAACGAAATCGAGCGGAATCGGCTATGCACTGTCTTTGTCGTCGTCGCACTCATTCGGACAGAGGAAGCGTGATACGCAAATTGGCCGTTCCCCCCGCGTCTCCCTGCGCCCTAAAAATCTAGAAATATTGGAGCAGGTACATAGGAGGGTGCCGAACCGTCTGAGAATAATCCGCCGGCAGAAAATAAGGATCTGATCCCGGGAAAAAGGGGCAAAAAGAGTGGACTCACTGGGAATTGAACCCAGCACCTCCCGCAGCGTCATGTGGTTATCACGTGAATAACACCGTTGCGAAGCGGGCGCGATAACCAACTACACTATAAGCCCGATGGAGAAGGGAGGTAAAGATGTCATGATGAGGAGCAGGGAGGATTCGGCAACAGACGAGCAGCAGAGGGCCGAAAAAGTTGAAATCCGAAAGGGATTTTGCAAGCCGATCATTGAGTGACGCGTGACTTCGAGTTGCTCTCATGCTCTCACTCCGCGCCGCGCGCCGTTACTTGTCTGGCGTCAGAGCGAGGCCATATTCTACGGTACCCGAAGCACCAACGGACCCAGCAAAGTACTGCCGGGAGCTGGTCCGCAAGCACGACTACGAGTCCTTTCTGATCAGCAAGTTCTGGCCCGCGGGACTGCAAGATGGGTACTTTGCTGTAAAAGCATTCTCTGTGCGTTCCTCGCTTTAAATACAAGCGTATCTCAATTCACCTCGACGCAGACAGAGCTGGCAATGGTGCAGGACAATGTGAGCGTGGCAACGATCGGCGCGGTGCGGATGCAGTTCTGGCGGGACGCGGTGCGGGATATCTATGCTGTGCGTAGGTGGACGCGTCTCGGTCTGCGCGCTGGCGACTGACAAGTTATGGGCAGAACAGGCCGCCGCGGCACCCCGTCGCGCTCGCGCTGCACCGGGCGACGCAGACCGCTAACCTGCCGGCATACTACCTGAAGCGGATCGTCGACGCGCGGGTGAGTGATACTTGACGGACTCGGGCATGAGACGCGGCTCACGCGGCAGCACGCAGGACGAGGAGCTGCGGACGGGGTCGTACCCGACGAGCGACGCGCTGGTGGCGCACGCGGAAGGCGTGTCGTCGAGCGTGCTGTACCTCCTCCTCGCGCTGCGGGGACTCGGTGCGTCCGAGTCGCTCGCGCACGCGGCCTCGCATCTGGGAACTGCGCAGACGCTGGCGACGCTGCTGTGGTCGCTGCCGCACCACGTCGGACATCGGCGGCTTCCGATTCCGCTGGATGTTTGTGCACGGCATGGGGTGAAACAGGAGGAAGTGTTCCGGCAGGGCGGGGGCGCGGCGGGGGTGGATGCGGCGGTGTATGATTTCGCAGTGCTGGCGAACGACCACCTGCTCACGGCGCGGGAGGTGTTCAAGGAGTCTGGGGGGCGGGTGCCTGCTGCTGCGATGCCGATATTTTTAGCGGGGGTGCCGGTTGCGAGCTTCCTGGAGCAGCTGGAACGGGTAAACTTTGATGGGTTTGCACGGTCGCTGGCGATGCGGGATTGGCGGCTGTCATGGAGGATATGGCGCGGGTACTATCGGAGGTTGTTTTAAGGTCTTGTTTTTCTAAAAGTTCAGAATCCATGGACAATTGCAAGCAACATGAAAGTTTTGAAACGCAAAAGTGTTTCGTGAAAGTTTTAAAATATTTCTGCATGTTTGAAGGGGTATCAGAAATGAATGGCAACAGACCCAGGAACCCCGATTAGGACGCTATGACGGATCGCGGGCCGAATGCAATATATTGGGTTACCACGTCTCTGCCACCACCATGGCACTCGTCTCCTTTCCTCCAGAAGTCCTCCAGCTCATCTTCTTCGACCTCCCCGACCCTGGCTCCTTCTCCGCCTCATCTCGCCACCTCCATACCTTTGCACAGGATCCTTATGTGCGTGCCCACTACTTCCTCGCCCGCTACGGCCACCTCCAGGCCATCTACTTTGCCCTCTCCCGCGGAAAGCTCATTACCCCCCGTGTCCTCGATGTATGTTGCCCTTGTTCTTCCATCTCCCCTCTCCTCACTCTCCCAGATCCTCATTGCGAGCGGGGCACACCTATCGCGCTACCTCGTCCAAGTCGCTTTCCACCACTTTTTCCACTCCCAGTCCCACTTCATCAAGCCCTCTGTCCCCTGGGTCCGCAACGTTCCCCTCGCCACGTTTTCCTACTTTCTCAATCTCGCCGCCGACAAGTATGGCGATATCCCCCGCGGCAAGGTCCGTGCCTCTGCTTTCACTCAATACAAAGAACCTGATTCGCCTCCAGAACGAGGACGACGGTGCGCTTTTTGCTACCTTTATAAAGGAGGCAAAATTCTCCCCCGAGAACCAGCGCGTGTCATGGGAGGTCATCCGCGATATCTTTGAGAAATACCATGTGCGTTCCTCTCGTATGTCCAATTCAAGTACCGATCCAACTCTTCCAGTTCATGCCCTTCTGCACCCGGGACCCACTCATGGCCCAATTCCCCCTCGCGCTCGCCATTGAGCCGCGCCTGCTGCCGTACGCAGTCGCCAACGGTTTTAGCATGGACGCCAAGGTACGCCGTCCGCTTCTCGTGCGCATGTATTTTGACCCTCACTCTGCTCTCAGTACCGCGACTTTGTCTTCCGTAAAATGTTTGAGCGCACGGCAGGGCCTGCCGCCGCTCACGCGGACGAAATTGTCGCGAATGTGCGCGAGCTATGTCGCCTCGACCCTGAGTGCGTGTTCGGCCCGTGAGAGTCAATTCGCTAATCCCTTATGCGCGCGCAGCATGTTCGTCACGCGTACTGTAGCGGCGGAAGTCTGCCTCGAGGCAAAGACAAACGAGGCCGCGTATAGCGCGTTGAAGCAGCTCGACCGTGCGGGGGATTTGCCATTTTCATTCAAGTGCGTAGCCTGACTCGCGTTTAATTTAAAGCTAATTTCGCTTCTCAGAGAGCTCGTGCAGGACGTCATCAAGGTAGCATATATCCGTTTGCCGCAGATCAACGCACCCGACTAACTGTCTACCTTCAGCTCTTCCTCAAGGCCCGCGCGATCACGATGGCGTCAATGACGCAGATCCTCACGCAGCTGTACACCGACTTTCTCGCACCGCCGCCGGTGCCCATCGCTTTTACCTCCACCTCTCGTAACAACTCGCGTCCCGCACACAATCAACCCGCCCCCATCGACCCGACCGTCCGTCGTGCCATGCTGCTCACCGTCTTCGCCGCTGAACCCCCCATCCCCGCAAGCGCGATGCCCGCACGCCTCGCGCCCTTGCGTCTCGGCCCGTTAAGTCTCAGCGATGCGGCAGATATATTGCTCAGTGCTTTCGTCGAAAAGCAGACTCCAATAGTGGAGTATCTGCGCCGGGAGGGCGTAGCGGGCGAGTCGCGGAGGGCCTCGGAAGGTACAACCGGAAGTGGGGAAAGCAAAGTGAGCCAGGGCACCCGGAAAGTCACGTCGGCAGAGCTGCGCGTGCTCGCAGAGGATGTCGCAGTGCGTTGTCTGACACGCGAGGCGAAGGGGAAGACGCTGAAGCGGTTGTGCGAGGCGTATCCCACTGTGAAGGGCCGGATTGTGCAGGCGGTGCTGGGGGAACATGAGGTGAATGTGGACGCGCTGGGAGAGTCGGCTCCGCGTCCGTGGCATGCACGCCTGGCGCGGCACATGGGCGGGATCGTAGTGGGCGAGGGCGAAGGGAACGAGAGCGAGTGGGAACACGACGTGGAAGACGAAGACGACGATGATGACGACACCGAGATGGAGGATGCGTGGAGCGTGAGCGAGGAGAGCGATCATGAGCCGTGGGGCGGGCATGGGGAGGAGAGCCAGGGACGCGATTTGGGTGCTATTGGGCTCGAGCCGCTGACCACGATGATCCGGCGGGATGAGATGCAGGGCGCACGCGGGCGGAGGCGCTATTATCCCATGACCTACGGCGCGGCGGCCACCACAAGTTCGAGGCTTCCGCTGGGTAAGATTGCGCCCTGTCCTTTTTCTGTTATTCGCGGTCTAATCGCGCCTAGATGCCTTATCGGTAAGCAAGTGGATCAAGTCCGAATTTGGCTCGTTCAGCAGCATCACGGCGACTTTTCTCACGCACGCGGTTATCAATGGGAACAACTCGGTGCGTCGGCGCACGTCCGTTAGCGTGGAGCCTATTTCCTGATTCGGCGGATCTAGATGATTAACGCGTACCTACATCCCGTCCCCGTGGGCGAGGGGCCCGTCCCCATCACACTCAAGCACTTCCAGGTCATGGCTCAGCTCGGGAGGGCGACGGCGGTGCGTAGCACGTGAGGTCCACTCGTGTGCGCATGTGCTGACCACCCGGATGCGTTGTGCAGGATTTCTACCTGTACGAACGCATCAAGCAGGGCGCGCCGTTCTACGCGACCGAGGACGACTACCTCACCGGCGCGGACTCGGCGCGGCATCTGCTGAAGAAGCTCAGCAAGGGCAAGGGCAAAGAGGCGCAGCCGGGGTCGCCCACGCGCGTCAAGATGGAGCCCGTCGAGGCCGTCGCAGGGTCGCCGCGCGGGAAGAAGCGGCCGCGGCGCTCGGCGGCGGCGGCGGTCAACTCGTATGCGGTGCCCGACTCGGACGATGAGGCGATCGCAGCCGAGGAGGACCGCGACGACGAGTTTGCCGAGTTCCGCATGGGCGGGGGCGCACGGAAGAAGGCGGTCAAGGTGGAGACCCATTTGGAGCGCTGGATCAAGGCGCTTGGGGAGCTGCTCAAGGAGGAGCAGCGCAAGGTGCGTGGCGTCGTCGTGGGCTGCTGGCAAGAGCTAACGTGTATGTATGCTCAGTACCGGGAGAAAAAGAAGCGCGTGGAGAAGGACAAGGCCGCGGAGCTTGGGCCTGGGGCCAAGATACGTGTATCCAAGGTGTGTGCGTGCGCATTGCGGGGGTGCGTGGCTGACGGACTGTTTGTGGGCAGAGCGATTTCTTCCGGTCTCTGACGTCGAATATGCGCATCCTGCGCGAGCTCGACACGGAGAAGCGCATGTCACGCGTGGCGGGGGAGCCCGTCGACAGCGACGCGGAGGACGACGAGTATGTGCAGCAGAAGGCGCCGCGGGCGAAGAAGCGCAAGACGACGACTGCTTGAGCTTGACGAAGACACGGCTCGAGCTTCACGAAGACACGGCTATGGTTTGAACCAACCAACGAACGAACGAACGAACGACACTCGCATTTTTCTTTTCCCTTTTCTTCTTGATCGAACAGGGTATCATTAATTCCTCGCACCATCGCATCGATAGCATCACGCAACTGTCTCGGTTTGCACATTCTCGTCTTTTATGCACTCAGCATCCACAGCATCATCACATTAGAGTCACCTCGCATTATACTACGCCGTAATGATAATAATATTAATAACTGGATTGAGCTCTGAAGAGCAAATCGACTGGTGAGGTTTTGTGACCGGTACTTCCAGCCGGGGCGTCCCGGCGAGTCGGAGTCGACAGCGTGCGGATTGGTCTAGATCCTGACTGCTGGAATTGGCTACTGCACATACCTAATATGCATTTTTTTAGTTGCTCCGTCAACAAGGTCTAAATGCGCCATAAGTATCGGTGAGATCCGTTGTCGACTCGAAGTCTCGAACTCCGAGTCGACGAACAGCACGAATTTTAAATGCCCTGTTCGAAGCGCCCGTCCAGATCGACGGTAATATTTTGGGGCGGATACTACGCATATCTCTCTCTTACTGAGGAGGAACTTGAACGCAGGTCAGAAATCACATGCGAGTAATGTCAGATGTACCGCCACTGATGGGACATCAGCCGAAGGCACATTTCCAGATGTGGATACTTACTATCGGAGGTCCTGGAAGCGAGATGTAGAAGCGGACCTGAGTGCATCAAACCCATATTGTACAACTTGAAGTTGAATGCGATAATAGTAAGCGTGCATGTGCTAAAAAACGAGAACGGCTGAGCCGCTAAGATTCTTCATATGTACCTTGAAGTTCTGACTCGAGGCAATTCATTCGAAGACGCTGGAATTTCAAAATCAGTATCTAGTAAAGGCAACGTCTGAAGCGAAATATTAGTTTAGCGGAATAGAGCGGAATATTCAAGCGATCCTTTCTACATGCATTATATACCCCCATGCGGTCGTGATGCAATCACCGGGTCAACTCGCTACACACCCTGATCTACCCGTTCCATTTTGAACCTGCATTAATTCAGCTGCCCGCATTCCAAAGCGCATCGAAAATAAATCACCAGATCACCCAAGAAACGGAGACTTGGGGACTCGAACCCCGGGCTCACGCCCAGGCTAATCCTCGGCTCGTGCTCAGGTGGGCCAGACCGTCGCCGCACTGGTTGCTTCTGGCGTCGTGTGTGTTACCGCTACACCAAGCCTCCACTGCGGACAAACCAATCCACATCAATTTCATGGCCGAGCACCACAGTCAATCCAGACGTCGGCATCCACTTAGAAACTGGTCAGATCACTGCACCTGCGTATTGAGACTATGCATAAAGAAGTACTCAAGAATTCTTTGTGCATAGTCTCAATATTTTTAAAAAAGTTACAACTGAAAGCGTCTGTAAACCCCTCTCGTTGTAAATCTTTGGCTATCCGAAATCTTCCGCAACACAACTGCGTCGATTTCAAGGTATCGCGCGGCGACGATGCGAAACCACGGATGCGAAACGTCCTAGCCTCGTCCAGCTATAATTTACTGACCCGTATCGGACTGGCGGCCTTGCGGAGGTCTGGCGGCGCTGTCATATGTATAAATATAACGCTCGCTTTGTTGACGCGCTTCGTCCGCGTCCGCAAATGCCAAATGTAATTGTGATGCTAAGATTTATTGGTGTTGATTCAACAGGCAAAGGAACCAACAATACTGGCCAAAACCTGCGATGCCGCATCTCACTCGTTGGGTGTTGAAAATGAATTCGTCGACGGTTATGATTTGTACTGAGAAACGGACATGCGGCCTATATGGTGAAACTAACCTTCGAGGGCGAGGCTTAAAACTTGCCAATTGCGAATTGTTGTTGAGTTCACCTCGTGGCGATGCAACAGGTTATCGTTCCGTTGTAAAATCGTTGTGTTCGTTTCTCAAGCTGGCCGATGGTCGTCTGCAGCGCTGAAACACCGGCACGCAGTCGCCGGACCTTTGCTATCAGATTCTAGTGTTGGTTTGAGAAAGGGTATGTGCTTTGAACTCGCTTCGAACATACTTCATAGTAGATTCTTCTTGAGCCTTGAAGTGGACTGTTGAGGCCGCTGGAGTCCCGATTGTATTCTTGTGAGCTATACCGTTGGTTTCGTATAAATTGCGGGGTTTGGAAAGAGATGGAGTGATGATATTGCCGTTATCAGACTCGGAGTCTATCAGTTTAAATTATACGCCGAGTCGGGCAAGTAAATGCGCGTGGGCTCCGGTGCGATTTTCCTCACCGACAAGGGGTTGTCTTAGGGATACTCCTATTTAGTTTCGTTTCCGCAATCAGCCACTTGAGTTTAACTCCAATACTACGCTACACCGAGGCAGCGTTGGACAACCCAATCTACACCAATGTTTGCGGCCTCCTACTTTCAAGTACTCACATAACTTTTTGAGACGCGATCCGTGCACGCTTTCTTGATATGCGACAAAATATACGTATGGTTAGTTCATGCAGCAGTTAAAAAATGCAAACCCAACACCGTGTTGTAATTTCTTTTCGACTTGGTAACTCTTGATGAAATTGTCGCGGAAGTAAGGGAGGACGAGTGGATTAGTAACAAATTTGAACGATTTACAGCGAACTTGGAAATCAAAAATGAGGCAATAATCTAACTGAGGAAAAGTCGAAGCAATTTGCGGATGCATCGGTCAAGTCGTGTCGATACTATGGTCGAGTACCAACATTAAGGGCAAGGCAGTGAGATCTTCGCGTTCGACGCGCGAGGGGAGAGAGAATGGGAAAACGGTGCGACGCACCGAGCCGTGCTTCGCACGGCAATCGTAATGTGTGAGGAGAAGGGAGGAGCAGAGAATGTTTGGTGTGTTTGCGGGGGGATCAGCCGTCCCGGCCGACGGGGCTTCACGACGCAGCAGGGGAAGGCTGGGGGAAGTCCGGGTCGGATGTAGACGGGACGTGGGCCCGGACGCAAAGGCCACCGAGGGTCTGTGAGGAACGAGGCCCAAAGCAACCCGAGCGTAGCGAGAAAAAACAGGGACGGGAGGGTGGGGCAAAAGAAACATGTGTGAGGACGAGGAAGGACTCGAGCAGCGACGTAGCCTGTGACAGGCGGCAGTGCAGATTAGATTCATGTAATCTGCTTCGTCTGGGCTCGTCACTCGCTGCCTTGCTTTCCACTCAGCTCAGCTCGCAAGCTCACAGATCTGATCTCGCAGGCCGCATAGCAAGTCGACCGTCCGGGGCATCTGGTATGTCGTCTTTGAGGGCTGAGCGCTGAGGTTTGGTTCAAGTTGTTGAAGTGTCGCACGTAACACAGCCACTCACATTCTGCCGATCACCGTTGCGCGCTTAATCCCTTCTGTCTTCAAGCTCAAGGTCCTCACGGAAACAAACCAGAATAACTGATCCACTCGTCTCTTTTATGGAAACGCGTTCCGGTGGAAAGTTGTGGCTACCTCGGAGTCTGATGCACGAGGCTACCTAAAGACAGAACCTTCCAGGTGGAACATGAGGTAGCCTCAGTCTTGACCTCTCCCTGCTTGAACCAGCCGTCTCTCTCTCGTCGCCACTCCTCATCTGCTACACATGAAATTGACTGCACTCGTCGTCTCGCTAATCCCTGCCTCCGTTGCTGCCCATGGCTGGGTGGGAAGTTTGACCGTGGCGGGAAAGGCTTTCCAGGGCAACCCGCTTGGCACATCGGGCGGCCCTAGTGTCATTCGCCAAGTCGACACCAACTCCCCTGTCACCTCTGTCTCTGACCCCAACCTTGCATGCGGCCCCAATGCCCAACTAGGGCAGGATATCGCCGACGCGAACCCTGGCGATCCCATCGACGTGAACTGGGTGTCCACCGCTGGCGCATGGTTCCACGACGTCGGGCCCATGCTCACGTACCTGGCGAGCTGTGGCAGCGAGCCGTGTAGCCAGTTTGACGCGTCCCAGGCGATGTGGTTCAAGATCCAGCAATCTGGCCGCGACGCCAGTGGGTGGGTCCAAGCCCAGCTAAGTGCGTATCTTCGTACCCGTGCCCTGTCCGCCGCTCATCCCGCCCCAGATTCCGGCGCGCCTGCGAATCTCACCCTGCCGTCCAATCTTGCGGCGGGAAATTACCTACTACGCCACGAGATCATCGCGCTGCAAAATGGCGTGTCGCAGGGCGGTGCTGAGTTCTACGCAAGCTGCAGCCAGCTCAGTGTGGGTGGCTCGGGCTCGGGCGCGCCCAGCTCAAGCGAACTCGTGAAGCTCCCGGGCGCGTACTCCGCCACAGACCCCGGCATCCTAGTCGATGTAAGCCGCCCTCGGTGTATATTGGCTCATACACTAACCCAATCCAGGTATATTCGAACCCCAACGCACCTTATACGTTCCCCGGGCCGCCCGTGGCGGCCTTTGTCTCTGGTGGCGCTTCAGCGCCGGCGAACCCTCCTGGGTCTACTAATGTACCATCACCCTCCACAACTCCGTCAATGGGCACCACGCCTGGATCGACCGCACCGAGCACGGCCAGCACTTCATGCAGATTGCGGAGAAATATTTTAACACGGGGCTCATCTTCCGTGCCATCTCCGACCAGCCCTGCGAAGCGTTGGCACCGTGTTCTACGAAGCTTCTCCGTATTCCGCAAATGATCAATTGCTTTCAACGACACCTTTTAATTTATTTGGCGTAGATCGTCGCTATGTGAAAGTAAAATAAATATGCATGGGTATTATTGTACGGAACAGATATCGGACTCTTAGGATGTACGATGTCTAAGCGTGAAAAGGTTTAGGCCTGGACCTTCTTCGTAAGTTCGAATATCACAAACGAAACGGTGTCCATACCTTGCCGGCACCGGCGCCACCTTGCGGGGTCATGAACATCGAGAAGCCCGCCCCGGGGTGACCGAGGCTCTGTTCCTCGAGCTCGATTTCTCTGCTCTCTTGGGTAAGGGAGCAGGGCGCACAGCAGCACGCGAGAAGGAAGTCAGTGGCGGTGTCGCCCTGGATCGAGTAGCGCGAACGAGTCATCTGGCGTCCGCCCATACCAACCACACCACCGCAACCGAAACAATGTGCCACACCGTCTGCGATGTTGTGAGCTCAGAGTCACACTCGAGATATTAGTAATCTACTCACACATGATGCTTTCATTACTGATAACACCCTCCATGGGGTCCTTGCTGACGGCGCCCTGCTCATTTCGTCAGTGACATTGCATAGAAATGGGCATGCTTAATCTCACAGAGGTTTCGAGCGCTTGGTACCTGGCGCGGTTGCGGCCGTACGAAACGCAAGGCAAGAACCAAGAAACGACGCCTAAGAAATAAAATATAAGGCATGGATCGGGGCGCCCTGATACGAGAGCACCTACAGGTCAGGGGATCCGCGAAGCAGTCAAAGATGCCGTTAGACCATTCACGCTGGCCGTCGACGAAGGGCATATTTTTGGCGTTGCGGGATCCGTCAGTCTGCATGGGCTGCGTCGCGCGGGGTTGTTGTGTGTACTATTGAATGAGTTGGATATTAGCACACTTAGGATCAAATTCAGAGAGCGAGAACGTACAGCCATGGTGTTTATGAAGTTTGAACTGAAGGGAATGTGGGTGAAGCGAGAAAATCCGCACTGCGAAAACGAGGGAAGATAGGCTAGTAGCGAACAGAGGAGATGCAGAGCAGAGGATATAGGGGGGTCTTTTATACTTTCTTTTTATCTTGACCTGACACCTGCCAGGAGTTGGCGGCGTCAAGCGCTGGCGGTCGCGACAATGCCGTGGATAGCATGCAAGACATGTAATGAAAGGGATCAAGCGCCGGCCGTCGTTCATTGTATCGTACAGGATTGAGTCAGGGTGGGATGGCAGACTTGAACGTGGGGGATCTGCCGAAACGGAGTCACAGTCGGTGGAGCCTCCATGCCGTTCTACCTTGCCGTTGAGCAGGCGGTATGAAGATGACTTCAAGGATGTTTCACGGAGCATTTCCTTCAGAGGTGTCATTTCCTTGGCTGTCCGAGCGAACTTGAACGCGACATGGTAGATTTTTATCCAGAAACTGAATGGAGAAGGCCAAGGGCGTTGTGTTGTTGTGCTTGGATCTTTCGGCCCGGGACCCGTTCCATTTTCGGCATGAGCCATCTCCGCGAAAAATTCAACAGCAAGGCGCGCCAGTCCGCTGCTGGTCCCTCACGAAAGAAAGGGAAAAACAAAACAAAGTCGAGCCAAGTCTCTGAAACCACCGATC